GTGTGTGGTGTGTGTGTGTAGGTGGGTTAAAGGTATATGAGTAGTAAGAATGAGTGTGGGTCATAAGTGAGAGCCAAATGTGTATTAATACACAGGTTTGTAGTTAATCTCCGAAAAGGACCCTCACAATAAAGGCTCTATAAAGGACACTGTGGTTCTGTTCGACTAAGGGACACCTCTGAATGTAGCAAACTTTCATTGTCCCCAATTGTTCCTTTTTCAGGGGTGTGACAACAGACTTTTCAAGATGTAAGAAATGTGTGAGTAATAGCTACCTGTTTGACTAGTTCTGAGTACAAGTTCTCATCGTTAGTGGGTGTTGGGCAGGAATAGTAGATTGATGCCCTCTGTTCCTGTAGCCATACAAACAGATGACAATGTCTCATTAGTCATACAGTAGAGCTGTGGAAATAGTATACACACTTTACCTCAGTAGGGACATAGATACCCCAGGAGTGTGCTTTCTTCTGTGGTTCAAGTAACTGTAAGAAAATTACAAAATTTACCCTTAAAACTATAGGTAAGTGTCTATCTAGTGAAAACCTTTCTCATGTATATAATCAGATAAGTCTGGATCAAACTTGGGCAACTGGAAGTCAATATGCTAGCTGCAAACTCAGACAAAAGCTATTCTCCAAGTTGTTTGTTTGGTCGCGCATTGCCCAATCTGTCTATTTTGACAACCACTGGCGGTAAGTAAAGCGGAGAATAGTTTTCGCCTGGGATTACATCATCTCTACACCTGCCCCGGGCTTACCGAGTCTAGGTTCAATCCCTCTCTATCATAAACGAAAGAAAATATATGACAGGGTGAATTACTAGCTATACCTCTGTAGGCTCATGATAAATGCCTTCTTCGTAGATCTTTATTCCGGCATTACCCCTGCCACTCGGCTCTCCACATCTTGACGATAGGCTTCTCAACCTCATCGTTACGCCTTCATCACTCAAGGGGGTTCCCCACTCCCCTCAACTGAGCAGCAAACTCAGAATGAGGACTGTTGTTAGATAGACTGGCATATGAAGGTGGTCCAAATGACGAACTGATGGTCCCTGTTCTAGAGGGTGTTGGTTGTTCGTAGGGGCTGCAGGGTCCAGGGTAGAATAGTTGGGAGTAGGGGGAGGGAGGGGAGGGGAGGGTAGTCAATGAACCTCGGCAGACGTCTTAAATCCCACACACACATGTGTCTACTACAGTTAATAGGAACAAATGTCTATCCGTATTAGAGTGTCGGTAGACGCTCTATATAGGGATGGCAGGGTCAAATCTCACGTGATCCGCGTACAAAACGCCTCAAATCTCTGCGAGAATGACTCGCTAGACTTCAAAAATCACTAGCAATAGTATATAGTATACAGGCCAATATCTAGCTATAATATGCCTCAAGACTTCATACGTGCCCCCAGTTGTCCAGGCGAGAATTCGCTCATACGCGATTTCACGATTTTCGTGTCATCATCATCATAATAATTATTCTTCATCTTCTTCTTTAACGGAATGTTGCAGTATTAGAAACTGTATCTAATTCAGTGGGCCCTACTCTTTAGTTCAGCATACCATGGTATGTATTCTGTGTCAGGCCTTTGTTTAGAAAATGCATATTGATGAGGGGGAAAACGCTGTGTCAGTGTGTGAGTTAAAATCCATGGGGTGAGAGACTTTATCAAGGTGCAAGGCCCCCCTAGAAAATCGCTCATCTATATACAATTATTTGCATGTGTGTGTTTTCATGCAGTACTGTGTGTCCCAATGCGTTTGCGCTTTAGTTTACTGCCACCTTTTCCTCTCTTACCATTCATGCACATTCTGCACACACCCAACATTATCCTCACAGGGTAACTTGGTAAACTGGACTTTATAAAGTGTTTGTTCTTATAATTATGTATTTATAGTAATTTTTCCAAGTTCTGAATTACTTGAGTCTTGTGACTGTTTCTCTTTCTCTGTGTATCTTGTGATCTTACCAAACCTGTTTTTACACCTCTTTTGTTTGGTTACTACCTGTGTTCTATTTATAGATGCTATGATATAATTATTACATTCATGTCATGTGCAGTTGCGATTTGTGATTACAGCTATGAATATCAGTAACTGTTAAATATTGCACACACCACACACACACACAAACATCCACAAAGCCATGAATGGAGCGGGCCAACTTTTTGAAAGCTAATGATCACAATTTGGTATATTATAGATGCGCTCAAGCAGATGTGTCATAGTATACTTGCACAAGCAGATCAACTCTAGTAGAAATAGAAATAGAAATACACGGAGATATGCAGAAAAAGGGGGGCGCGGCGAATTCCGCGGGCCCCCACCACATTATTTTGCCGTTTCTGCCCGGTGGTCTTGCTTGTTGACAGTGTGCTGCTATAGTTCCTGATCTCCCGTACCGAAGAACCGTGAGCTATCTTTACCTCTGTAGTGTCATTGTATAGATACAGAAGAAGCGTAGGGGAGTCAGCGTTTGTGGTAAGGGGCGCGCAAAGAAAGGGCGTGGCCGTAGTGATGGCGACTGGGGCGGGCCCGGAGCCGGCCGACAAGGGCTCTCGCGAAATGGGAGAAGATGATTTGAAAGTCGTTTTTGAAGCGCTTGTTCCAGTTGCCGAGAAATGCGAGTTTTTCGGCATACAGATAGGGGTGAAAATGAATCAAATACAGCAAATCCAAAGGCAATATACGGATCCGCGTCAATGTTTGCTACGAACTTTACATACTCGCTTGAGGCAGATCCCAGCGCTCACGTGGAATGATATTGACAGAGCTCTCAGGTCGAGAAGTGTTGGTGAGGGTAGGCTAGCTGACGATATAAGGAAACAATATTGTAGCAACCTGCCCAGTCATGATTCTCGCTTAGGAACAGCGTTAGACCAAGAACCTCCAAGAAAGGCATCAGAAAAAGTTGAAAGAAACCCGAAATCTACAGGGAGGGTCGCACCCATAAAGTTAGAAATGAACAAGAGCGAGATTCAGATGAGGTAAGTGAATCTGAGCTCTCACATTATATATCACTTACCAGTGAAACCGTGCTAAAAACGCCTCAACATAAAGTCAAAATTATAAAGATGTGTTCTGAACCAGAAAGGGAATACAAGAGAGATATGAAACAAGAAGGAAAAGCCACACATGAAGCAAAAAGTGAAAGTAAAGTCCAACTAAAAGGTAAGGAAAGAAGTAGTCAAGTACACAAAGAATTAACAGAGCAACAAGCACAAAAAGAAGTTCTAGAAAAGTCTGAAAGTGAATCTTCTGCTTCAAGTAGTGAAGAAAAAAAGAAAGATTCTCAGAACAAGAGCACAATTCAGATGATGAGGTAAGAGAAAAAGAATACCAGAAAAACTCAGAGCAAATCACAGGAGATGAATATGCCTCTGAGAGTGAAACAGAAGTGAAAAGGAAAAACAACAAAAACCAAAGGGTCTCAAAGTGAATATGGAGGAAAGGAAAAGCAACAACAATGTGGCTTGGGTGTAAATGATTTGAAGTCATTATATGAAGCCCTATACGATGTAAGAACAAAGTACAAAAACCTTGGTTTACAGCTTGGGCTGGACTTGCCCACAATTGAAGCTATTGAAGTCAATCACACTAATGTCGATGACCGGATGATAAATGTTTTATCTGCTTGTTTAAATAGAAAAGTACTCAACTGGGGCGATGTTGTCAAAGCACTTAGATCAAAAATTGTAGGTGCTCATCGCTTAGCCGACAGCATTCATGAAAGCTATATCCATCATTCCGGGTGTCAATCGTGACCAAGCCAGGCGTCAGGAGACTAAAATTACTTCCTCTGGGGAAAGGCAACCAACAATGAGTAAGAAATGCCCAGAAGAGGTAGAAAGTGAGAAGGCCCTGTATAACAATTATGCCTGAAAGTACAGTAAATGAGGAATCTAATGATCCAGAGTCTGAGGAAGAATATGTAACTCCTCACAGTGAAAAAAGAACAGGTGAATCTGAATCTGTCAGGTACTCACAGAAGCAGTACAAAAATAAAGAAAAAGGGCAGAAATCAGCTCCACTAAAACGTAAGGTATCACGTGATCAATCAGAAATTGTTGTAAAGAAGCAACGCGAAGTATCCCACGTAAGACACCCAGATACGTCTGTAGAGGGTACTGCAGAAGCTACTGATGAGGGGCAGCAAGATTCTGATCCAGAGGTAAGTGAAAAAACTACGCCTCATAAACCCCAATTAGAATCTGAAGATGAGTCTTCTTCTGTCACTACCAGTGAAGAGAGAAGTGAAGTCACAAGTCGTGACTATGTTAGAAAACCGAAATACAATGAGAAAAGGCCTAAAGTCAATCCTGAGAAAGAAAAACAAGAATCCCAGAAAGTAAAGCACGCCTCAGGGGAAAAAATCAGTTCAATGAAAGAGCATCTTTCCATCTCATCCTCTGATAAGCAGTCTATAAGGGGTAAGAGTGCAGAAAAAAGAAAATACATGGACAATGAAGACCATTCAGATTTAAGAGACACAAAGTGTCCAAAAATATACTCAGTAACTACTGAGTCTCCCCCTAACAGAGAACGAATTGGCATGGTAAAAAGTGTAAGGAGAAAAAGAAAAATGAAAACCAAAGCCAAAAGTCAGGGGAACAGAAAATTAATAAGAAGTGAGTTTTTACAAAGTCAGGAGGTGCAAGAGAAATCCAGGTACCCCAAGTTATGTTCACAAGAAGAGCAGGTTGAGAATGAGGAAGAAACGTTGCAAAAGAAAGCAACAGAGATTTCTTTAAAACAGGCCACACCATCTTCAGACAGTACCGAAGAAGAAGACTCTGAAGATGAAGAATCGGATTCAGATGGTAGGAGTGAGGACGAAGAAGATGGAGACTCAGAACAAAAGTCATCAAATGAAGAGGAGGAAACAGAACCTGATGACGGGTCTTCTACTGCCACCAGTGAAGAGGAAGTGAAGGAAACTGCAAGTGCAAAATCAGAAGAAAGTAAGAAGGAATACTCTACAACAGAAGGAAAGGGTATCACTAGGAAAAGAAAGCAAAAGGAAGCTAAGGATGAATCAGATACTGGTTGTGGGGGTGGGGACCAAGGGCGTGTAATAAAAAAGCACAGAGAGAGGAGTAATAGTCCGACAGCCAGAGGTAGCTCACAAGAGGGCAGTCTAGAACAACCAGGCTTCAAGGGGAAGAGAAAGGTAAAGGGAAAAGGGAAAGGGGTTAGGATTTGTAAAAAGGGAGAAAGCTCAAGTTCCACTGAGACAGATGGCTCTTCACCTGAATGCCATTATAACATCTCTGAGACTGAAAGTAAGGGTCTTAGAAATATTTTCAAGCGTTTCTTTGGCAGACTCTGCTTTAAAATGAAAGATCCAGTTGAACTAGCAACACATCTTCAGATTAAGAATCTCATACTATACTCAGCAATGAATAAGCTACTGATATCTCCTGAATCACAGCAGGCAAAGGCTATCACTTTAGTGAGAGCTCTTCAGAAACAAATAAAGTATCGTCCTGACCGATTATTCACTATTGTTGAGGTTTTTCTGCAGAATGCAGCCCTGAAAGAACCTGGCAAGGAAATGTTGCAGGAAATAGGTAAGTATATTAATACTGTGATTTTTAACTGTTGCTACTGTATTACGTAGCTAATGATTATCTGTAGGAAAGGTTTGCCCTGAGAGAACAGCCTTTTTGTTTGGCAGTGAACAACCTCCTTCTGATAGACAGGTGGAAATTCCTGGTGAGTTAAAATTTCCCTATCGCATATCCAATTTATAACCTTTTTATCTACAGGGAGTGAAAGTAAGACAACGATTCATAGAGAAATAAGTGGCACACCTTTATCCTGCAATCCTAGTCCTGCATTTTCATTTGAGACTGGAAGTGAAGTGGCGGCAAAAGGTATTTCGAAACATGCGGCTATTGCAAGTGTAGCTGATGGCATATCACCATCTCAGGAAGTAAGTCAGTCAGTACCACAGTCAGGTGTAAGTCCAGTGTTGACAGAGTATAAGCAGTATTTGCAATCTTGTTACAAAGCTAGAGTCCTAGCTCCAGCAGACAAGTACCTTCCAACCCTAGAGGCTCCCTACATTAATCTTGCCATGATTAGAAGGGGGCACTACAATCCTGAGCAAAGAGACGAGTTTACCAGGAGAACACTGCATGGAGGAGTAGACCAGATTCTTCAGAGCAAGACACCTATCAACATTGAAGACCTGGTGACTCCAGAACACAGTGGTAGGCCAGTCAGGTTCGTTCTGGTAGAAGGTCCTCCAGGAATTGGTAAGAGTACCTTTGCCTGGGAGGCATGCAGGAGATGGGATAAAAGCCTCAGAAACTACCACACTGTGGTGCTGCTCAAGTTGAGGGAAAAGTGGGTCTTAAATGCAGCATCACTTCCTGATCTCTTTAGATACCCGTTTAAACAAGAATTCAGTGAGAATATTGCTCAAGAACTGCATGACTCCCAGGGGTGTAATCTTTTACTTGTTTTAGATGGTTTTGACGAAGTCTCTCACAGTTTCCATAAGGACTCTGTCATTAAAAACATTCTATGCAGGCAACTCTTGCCAGAATGTACCATCATCCTCACTACTAGACCAGTGGCCAAGTCCACACTAGAAAGTATCTGCCAGCCTATAGTTGATAAGCATGTAGAAATTATTGGGTTCACAGAGGAAGAGAGAGTGAGGTATATCACTGAGGTCTTTAGCAAGGAACCAGAGCTTCAGGTGAATTTCTTGAAGTACATGTTTCTTGTCCCTCACATAAAGTCAATGATGTACATTCCACTCAACTGTGCCATTATAGCACAAGTCTATTACGAGTCTCAGAGTAGCCGCCACCTCGCTATACCAAGAACAAGAACACAGCTGTACAAGGCACTCACTCATTCTCTTCTCGTTAGACACATGAAGATGAAGGAAAGCAACTATGAGTATACTACATCCATGCTTCCTGAATGTCTTAACAAAGAAGATATAGACAAGTTTAAGGTTTTGGCTAAATTTGCTTTTGACAGCTATCACAAAGTTAGGTCAAGAAAGGTAACGTTCTTCAAAGAGGATATCCCTGAGGGATTAGTTCATTTTGGGTTCATGAATGAATCCACTGAAATGTATGCTGGCAAAGGAGTGGAGAGAACATTCTCATTTCTCCACCTCAGCCTACAGGAATACCTGGCAGCTTGGCACCTGGCTAATAGCTACAGCATTGAGTTTCAGGTGGCTTATCATTGGCTGGCTGTAGAGGCTGACCAACGTATTTCTTATGATGAAGGAAATTATTACAAAAGTGATAACCAGGAGGAAGAAATTCTCTTATCGTCACTAAAGGAACAGAGGTTGTCACTAGTGGAGCCAGCCATATTCCTGGCTGGTATCACTGGCTGGAGATGCCAGTCAGAGGATGACAGGAACCACTGGGAAATGTATCTCAGTCATGACACTGCACGTGCTCCTGATTTGTCCAATGTCTTGCTACGCTCTCTCTATGAGGCTCAAAACCCAACCATCTTACCACTATATTATTATGCTAGTGATTCTAGGAGAAGATTTTCCATTGGCTCAAATGAGTTAGATATTTTTGATTTTAAATCACCATATGACTGCTATGCCATATCTTTCTGTCTTGCAAATTCCTCAGATCAACATTGTTTTGCTCTATCATTTAGCTTCAATAGTGATAATGATATTTCACTTGTGGAAACGTTTGTCGAAGGTCTTAATGACCACTGCAAGTCTACCACACCTAGAGTGAACTATCTTCAAATCGAAGGATCATCATCTCTAGTAGACAGAGGATTACTTTGGTTAATGAAAGCCAATTTTTTGAATACTGATGAATGTCGTTTACACCCCTCCATTGTAAACAGCTCTTTTGCTAATCAATTTTTACACACACTTCCCAAACTTCAATCACTCACAATCTGTCCAAGTGCATTTTTTTATATTGCTATCACATCTTGGGAGTGGCTTGCTGCAATACAGTCTCTCAGTAAACTCAAACATCTGCACATTACCATCAGGAGGCAATGCAGTCCTCCACCACCTGATATTATTGTGGAGAGGGATAATGAGCTGAGAGAAGTTGTATTTGATGTCATCCTTCCTACCAATACAATATATGATCTTCACAGTCCAGCAGATGTTCTGGTTGACTCTGTACTGAAATATACTCTGAAATCAAATCAAATTACTAGAATCGTATTGCCTCACATATCTCGTGAAACTATGGCTGGTGTCCGTAGCATCTTACTACACTGTCCCAGTCTTACCACATTGGAGCTGAAGAGAACCAGACTGGGCTATGATGGAATCATCTACATATGTGGTGCACTGAGAAATAACACAACATTAAGACATCTTGCGATTGATGATATTCAATTGCCACCAAGGAACCTCGGTGAGATATCTTTATTCTCATCCATGGAAAGAGTTCCTCTGCCTAGTAAGACTACCTGCACTGCCTTCCTTCTGGAACTAAACGACATTCTCAAAGACAACACTACTCTGGAAGAGATGAGCATCCAGTCTGGATTATTCCTCCCTTTCTCTGCTGGTGAAGAGGAGGAGTATTATTCTGGTGAAATGTGGGAGTATGGTCAGTGGACAGGACTTGGACCTCTTCAACAGTTCAATGTGGGGGCTGTCCGTAGTGGCATGTCTCCTAATCTCAGGAGATCATTCTCATCTTCAGACCTCACTCAGCCACAGACCCAAATCTTTTGGGACAGATATTTTGGTAGGTATAATATGCCAAAAGCAGCAGTTGTTGATTTCAAGAAACTATTTTCCAAGAGGAAGGAGGAGGGAAAGAAGTTATTCTCTCTTCCCTCATTCACTGCTCCAGACACTGCAGTTCTACAGTCATTCTCTGGTCTAGACCCTCGTCTCAAGGAGTCTCTGGAGATATCTCATCTCCATCAATATGTGGAGAGACTCAGGGAGACTTACATTAGAATTTTGGAGGAGGTTGCAGATTCATTGCAGATATTGGACCTTCCCGCACTTTCATAGCAACTTGCTACAAGTTGTACAGCGACCTGAAAACCTACAGCAACCTTCATACCTACTACCTGAATATTTGCAACAACCAGCATATCTACAGCAACCTGTACAACAGCCTGCATACCTACAACAACCTTCACACCTTAAACAACATGCATATCACCATTCACGTCTACAACAAGCTACGCCATCAAGAAGAAGAACGCCTTGATTAATCTACCAACCGTAATGAGTAAGACCCTTACAGTACACATATCTGTGGTGTATTACAAAGATTGGCTAGTATAAAGATATCGGCAACCATGGTCACGAACAGATGGTCCCAGAATGGTCTCCCCAGTTTGGCAAAGCAGCAGCAGGCAAACAGGAGATCACAACCAGGAAAAAAGTAACACAATAGAAGTGTGAAATGGAGAGAGACATAATTATGTCAAAGTACAAGAAAAAGAGATGAAGAGCAATCTACAGAGAAGCAATGGAGAAACTTTAAGAATGTGGTTATTTGCTGAGTTGTCAAGACTGGGCTGTTTGTAAAGGGACCTGATGATAATTGTTTACGATCAATGTACTGTTGTAATTGCCAAGTATCTTAAACTCCAGTTGAAACACTGCGTGTAATTTGCGCATGGTGCATTAGTCATCCGTTACAGAAAAAATTCAGATGGCACTAGCTGGACTTGTTTTGCTCACCAATTATATATGAGTGCACGCACACATTAGACAGTGGTAAAGACAAGAAAAGATAGCGAAAGCAGTGGTGAAGTCGTCTGGGAAGAGACATCATCCTACTCACTGGCTGAAAGTGGAATTGTGTCATGTAGCTAGTGCCTTTGTTATTGTGCCACCTTGTTTCAGCCATCTTTGAGTCCGACAATACATGAGTGTCATCTGAATTTTATGAGTTTTCAGGGTTTTCCCAGCATATTGACTCTTAGCAAGCCACGAACCTATAATATTATGTCCAGATACGAATTTATGTAGGTCTATAATACTAAGCGTATGTTAACGCCTAGTATTATAGGCCTGGCATGGCGTGGCGTCCAAAGGGTTTTAATTATTACGTTTCACTAACTTATCATGGAAAAGCCACACAGACACCATGTTCAACTATAGAGTCTGACTATGGCTGTGTGCAGTAAGTGTTCTGCAGAGTCATGTGAAGCTTGTGGGCAGTCTTGAGGGGAGCCCCTAGCATGATTGCCTGAGGCCCCACCCCTGTGACCTCCTCTGTACTCCAGTGGAGTAGTTGGGAGACAGGGAGACCGAGGTGGCAGGAGAGAGACGGGAACGATGGACGACATGACTTGTCGGGGTGCCTGGGTGCAGGGGAGAATATTGGGAGGGAAAAGAAGGAGGATAGAGGAAAGGAAGAGGGGGGATGGAGGGGGAAAAGCCAAAAGGAGTGGAATGGTTAGGTGTAGGAATGACAAGTACAGTTCTATGTCCCTCCCCTACCCTGTGTTCCTAAGCACGCATGAATCCCAGAAATTTGCCGTAGGGATATTATGGAGATATAATAAAGCTCTAGCTCCACTAACCAGCACTGGACCATGAGAGAGTAGATCTCATGAGGTGTACCGGGAGGAGGAGGGAGACAGAATGACCTCTCCAGTAGACTCACCGTCTGTGTTTCACGACAGAAATAGAAGGGAAACAGTTAAAGCAAATTCAGAGAGCATTGTAAAGTGGTGTCCATAATTATAAACGTTTGTAAGAGTGATTAGTTACAAGCCTGGGGGGTAGACAGCTACAAACCTAGTAATACCTGAGCATTAGTGAAGTCAGAGAAGGGTTTCTGTCCAAGGCTCCATATCTCATACATGACCATTCCATAGCTCCACACGTCACTGGCTGTCGAGTACTTCTTGTAGTGGATTGCCTGCAGGGAGAAACGACTGTGCTTTGAGGTTTGGATAGATTATTGATCGTTACCTCAGGGGCAGTCCACTTGATGGGGATCTTGCCTCCTTTAGACATGTAGTACGTCTCCTCTTCCAGTCCGCGAGACATGCCAAAATCACTGATCTGAAGAAGGAAAATGTGTATTTATGGGTGGATATGTACTGTGGTTTGTGCATAGATGGATGTGCATATTATGGTGCTAACATACAAAGTGCAATGTAGCATATATAGTGTGAGACAGAATTCTCATGCAACTTCAATGTATATATAGGTATGATATCCAATGGTGCTTTATAATTGCACACAAGGTATTGTGTGGACCCATTGTCATACTATACACTGAAGTTTAATAGCCTTATTCAAAACTGAAGATCACCACAAAAACACTCCTTATAATGCACTCGATCCTTCATGTGCATACAAAATACGGTAGCTATAGCTACGTATTATGAAGGGAGGTGTCACCTTGCAGGTGAGGTCATGTGACATGAGAATGTTCCTGGCAGCCAGGTCTCTGTGCACAAATGACTTGTCAGCCAGGTAGCTCATCCCTGCAGCCACGTCTTGACAGAACTTGAGCAACCGCCGGGACAGATCATCCCGCTGTAGCAATGACGAACCTCTGTATGTTCAGTTTTTGACGGATAGAGAGAGAAACAAGAGAGGTCAACGACGATTTTTCGATTTTTTTCGACGATTTTTCCTTATCAATACTTAATAATGAAAAACACTAAAGTGCAAACCCTCGGCACACTATATAGAAATGTGGAACCCATACACAAGTGTGGCACCACCACAATTGATGGTCTTGACTATGCATCAAAAAGAACAGCACTATTTCCATGGATTATTTTCAATAGGTTGAAAAATGGCCGGCCCCATTTCTGTTTGAGGCCCAAAAAATATATAAGGTTGAAAAATTGCCAACCTTTCATCTCTCTATTAATTTTCGTATTACCTGTGGATTGTTTAGTGCAAAAAAAAAACCTAAGGTTGAAAAAAACGCCCAGCCCTTCATCTCTCCAGACAGACGTCTTCGGACGCAGTGCAATGCCGAACTATACGCTGCCCTTTGAGAAATGTGGGTCGGTGGTAGATTTATGGGTAAGGGGAGGAACCAGAGCTGTTCCCAGCCAATGCTCTGGACCAACTGACACTTTAGTGCGGGATCGGGATTCAAACCGGGCACCTATGGTGTCAGTCCCCACGACTCTAACCACCTAGCCACTCGGGCTGGCTTTGAGAGGTGATGAAAAAACGTCCCAGTTATACCAACAGCCAACACTCCTATTACATCATTGTAAAAAAGGCGCACACCCCCCGGGATCGAACCAGGACCTCACGATCAAGAGAGGGGGTGCTTATCCATCAGACCTCCACCATTACTTGAATGGGAACAGTGTAAATGAAAGTGCAAACCCTCGGCAAAGTAGCTCGCAGAGAGTCTGACACGGGCTAGCTACAGTAGTAGATAGCACGCGAGAGTCGATACACGCCATTCGTTGTGACTTCTTGTGACTTCTTGTGCCTTCAAGATAGACAGAGCAAGCGGACCCGGTCGAGGAGGTGCCTGTGCTAAATATAAGCGCATGCGCCAGCGATAAAATGGCGACTACCGGCATTAGCCATACAATGCTGGAAGCGCTCTAGCTCTGCAACGGATCATTTTCACCACATATTTTCTGACCCTCGTCCCCGTTGGGTAGATGGTATCGTTTCTGGGACGAACAGACACTCGAGAAGTGAGATTGAGAGTAACAGACAGACAGCAGACAAACCCAACTACAGTAACCCTCGCTGCGCATGCGCGCCGAGGTTAGAAATTGGTCGTTCTCTCTAACTATACTAATAGCTCGGAAGACTCGAAAATTCTTACTTTGTTCTCAGCTTGACCAGATGGTTCCTAAGATCTCCATTGCTCATCAACTCCAACACTATCATCACCTTAGTAATTAGAGAGGATAATAATATATTATAAGAGGTTTATTACAGGGATTTACTCACTGGTTGATCAATGGTGACCACACCAATTAGCTTTACAACGTTGGGATGTCTAAATTGTCCGTTGATGGCGGCCTCTTGCAGGAACCTGATCTTGTCGCTCTCAGTGCTGCCTGGTTTGAGAGTCTTGACTGCCACATCCACCGGTCCTCTCGGGGAGCTCCACACCCCCTGGACCACCGTCCCAAACTGACCTGATCCCAAATGCTGACGAAGACTGGAAGAGAAAACCTTTATCTGGTTGTGAACCTTTAAACGATAACTCGGGATGGTCAAAATATGCAGCCCAGGGGGAAACTACAACAAACCAATTTGAAATTCATACTTCAACCATCTTAACCAAGCAATCTACAGTCATTTTCAAAAGCCAAAGCCTAATACCAAGCAAACAAATCAACATATCTGATCAGAAGTTCCAAAGTCCTACTTCCACTTTGCTAGCAATTAAAACTCATATCTACCTTTGTGACTGTGTTTCCTCTACAAATATCTAACAAGTATTGTCTTACTTCTTACCTGACGTGTTTCCTGGAGAGCTCTCTGTATTTCCTAGTGCTGAGCTGTTTGTAGAGGGCCTGGGTACTGTCAGCAGGTGTCCAGTAGGTAGGCTCCTCGTGGAAGAAGGCTGGAGCTCCACTCCCACTGCTACTGACTGTGCTACTAGTGGTGCTGATATGGTCATCATACACATGATCCTGTAGGGACTTGGAGCTCTGTAGGTGTGTGTGTGTGTGTGTTTGTGTGTAGGTGGGATTAAAGGTTGAGTAGTAGGAATGAGTGTGGGTCTATAAGTGAGAGCCAAATGTGTATTAATGCACAGGTTTGTAGTATATAATCTCCGAAGAAGGACCCTCACAATAAAGGACACCTCTATAAAGGACACTGTGGTTCTGCCATACACTCTTCGACTAAGGGACACCTCTGAATGTAGCAAACTTTCATTGTCCCCAATTGTTCCTTTTTCGGGGGTGTGACAACAGACTTTTCAAGATGTAAGAAATGTGTGAGTAATAGCTACCTGTTTGACTAGTTCTGAGTACAAGTTCTCATCATTAGTGGGTGTTGGGCAGGAATAGTAGATTGATGCCCTCTGTTCCTGTAGCCATACAAACAGATGACAATGTCTCATTAGTCATACAGTAGAGCTGTGGAAATAGTATATACAAACTTTACCTCAGTAGGGACATAGATACCCCAGGCGTGTGCTTTCTTCTGTGGTTCAAGTAACTGTAAGAAAATTAAAAAATTACCGTTCAAAACTATAGGTAAGTGTCTATCTAGAGAAAACCTTTCTCATGTAATCAGATAAGTCTGGATCAAATTTGGGCAACTGGAAGTCAATATGCTAGCTGCAAACTCAGACAAAAGCTATTCTCCAAGTTTTTTGTTTGGTCGCTCATTGCCCAATTTGCCTATTTTGACAACCACTGGCGGTAAGTAAAGCGGAGAATAGTTTTCGCCTGGGATTACATCATCTCTACACCTGCCCCGGGCTTACCGAGCCTAGGTTCAATCCCTCTCTATCATAAATGAAAGAAAATATATGACAGGGTGAATTACTAGCTATACCTCTGTGGGCTCATGATAAATGCCTTCTTCGTAGATCTTTATTCCGGCATTACCCCTGCCACTAGGCTCTCCACATCTTGACGATAGGCTTCTCAATCTCATCGTTACGCCTTCATCACTCAGGGGGTTCCCCACTCCCCTCAACTGAGCAGCAAACTCAGAATGAGGACTGTTGTTAGATAGACTGGAATATGAAGGTGGTCCGAACGACGAATTGATGGTCCCAGTTCTAGAGGGTGTTGGTTGTTCGTAGGGGCTGCAAGGTCCAGGGTAGAATAGTTGGGAGTAGGGGGAGGGAGGGGAGGGGAGGGGAGGTGGTCTTATCTCAGAGGGATCGGCGTAGGTTGGACCTGGGGTGCCAGTGGTAGTTTCTCTCTCTGATTCTGTGTGGACGTGTGTGGAGTTGGGAAAAGATGGTACTTTGTTCATCATTGAATTGAAACAGTGACCTATACCCTATCATGTACGAAACGATTGATTTTTGTACTATATAGAGCAATTGTGGTTGAAAAACGCAAGCAGTTCTATATACTCTCAGAATCAGAATCATATAACACATTAGGCATCATGGACACATCAGAAAGAAGATAAAGGTTAGAACACCAGGAATGTTCACCTGTGTAGGTGGGGTTGTGTATGTTGTTGTTTCCGCGACTGGTGTCAGTTATCTTGCCTCCGTCCCTTCTTCTCACTCTCACAACCAGACACACGACCACAACCAGTACCACTGCTACCAGCAACCCCACTGCCACAACTCCAACCACTGCCCCTATAATTACCGCTGGTGTATTGCCATCCCCATCCTTGTCTAGTGTGGGTGGCTCACTGCTATCTGTTGTAGGTTTCTCGAAGGAATCTGAATGAAATTTGTTGAAGGCAAGAAAAACTACTGTAGCTCAGCTTGTGCACTAATATTATTAAAAGTTTACTGATGTCAAAACCTGGCTTTTTTTCCCTATATTTTACACTTGGAGTAGATGAGATATTAGGCACAAACATCTTGTTTTCATGGCAATAATGTGACTGCACCGTAGTATTTTGTGAGGCACTGTGATGTTCTAGCCGTGAATTTTGAAAAGGCAAGAAAATGGTCAGCTTTAAAAAGGTGAAGTCAAAATTTATGCTAGCTAATGAGAAACATGCCAAAGAGAACTCTCACCATATTCAAAACTAATGAGAGGGGTTCTTGTAGATTTCCCCACAGCTCTGCTGGACAGAGTTACTTCACTGGGATTCTGTCCAAAGAGATAGTAGCTATCTGTTCTTCCATCGTCCACAGCCACTAATCCCATTAAACTGCTTGACGATGGGGGCTGGTAATATCCCAACACATCCCCTTCTTGAACACTGAATGGTGTGTCAAAAATAAATTCATACACATTGATTCTTCCCGAATATGTCGGTGCTGTCTCGTTTCCAATCGAAGTTACTCTGATGTAATTATCTGTGTTTGATTGAGGGTCACTTTCATTATTACACAGTCTCCACACCTGTATCTCGGGATATAGTTGACGGCTGTTAGTCATACTCAAGAAATGTCCACCAAACACAAATTTCGAGATATTCCCACTTTTGGAGAATTTCAGACTCGGTACGATGTTGAGTGTGTTGAAGTCAGTGGTGAATGCTAATGGAAGGGACTTACTCCTCAGATCATTTAGGGATACAAACCCATCAGTACAACCAGGATCAACTGCAAGGAGGAAAATATATGACAGGTTCACCTTTGGCAGCATTACAGACAGGTCTATAACTGACTAGAGGCCTAACACCAGTTTACTGTTGAGCTAGTCCTATAGACTTTTGTAGTTGGTTGGCCAGTATTTCGGTCTGCTATATTCAAATCCCTCGTCTAAGGTAAGCTCTCTTTGTCAGCCAAACATTGTGTGAGAAGGCTATTTCTAAGGCAAAGTTTTCACATGTTCACACATCACACATCAATAGCCTCCTCTCTAAATGGACACCTTTTCTTTCCCCAAGTACAGTTGTTACACGACAGAGTCATCCTGGTTTTTTATCCCATTAGTGTGTTCAGATTAGAGGGGCTCTACTCTATTACCTGTGTCGATATGGAGCAGTGGTCTATCAGCGTCACTAAACACCTCGTCGCTCCCTCCTTCCCCTGGTCCCAATATGTACACACTGTGGGGGAACATTCCCGAGTTCATCTCACTGAACACATCCAGTCGACTCTCTGTTGGCTCATACAGAGCAATGACATCGTTAGTAGTAATTGGTAGGGGGCTCGGCAGCGTGTATTCGTATACTCCAGGGCTAGTAGTAACACTAGAATTCGAAATAACTATCGTGTCTGTCCGTGAGACTACGTCACTGGTACTGTATCTCCATATCTCCACCTGTGGCCAGCTGTTTCCAAACACCACTCTCGCCCCGAGTTTGATTGCAGTAATTGACGTGTCACAGGTGAAGTTGAGTGCGGGGAAAACCCTGTCGTGTCCCGGATAATTAACAAGACGTGTGTTCGCATTAATCCTGAAGAACTGCTTCAAACTATCTGCAGTGCTGAATCCATTCATACATTCTTTCTTGCAACCTGTGATGAAATATTCAAGAAAATATCAACTACATCACAATGAAAACCAGAGTATACTTTCTTAATTAACACAGTGGGATACCTACTTACATGCCTGTATATAGTCGTACAAGAGTCGAGGGGGGAAATTGCCAAACCAGGTACAGCATTATAATCAGAGGCACTGGCTTTCACATGCATTCTTGGTCAACCATGAACACCTGCTGGGAGATGTATACAGTAGCGACAGATCTGAGAAGGACGCTCACCAACTAAGTGTTCCTACATACTATGCCAGATGATTACTGATATTCATTAATGGTTTATCAGCCATCATTGATTGTACATACCAGGAATTTCTAATTACGTACAGCATATCTTTAATGATTGTTTACTTCTAAAAAGATTACATGACCATCACTGAATGCAGGCATTACCAAAATAACCAAATCGGCTGAAATATAAAACAAACAGTGTGCACTTACCATATTTGATGGAAATGAGGGGGTAGTCATAGTTAACGAGTGATCCTCTCAGAGAGTAACTGACGGACGGTGTGTTGGTGAGACGAACATAATGAGCAGGGGCCAACTCGCTCTGAAACTGGAGAACAAGCTCGCTTCTGCTGGAACTCGGCTGAAACACTCCAAACATGTCTCCTTCTTCTACCTGTATTGGCTCGTTAAGGTCAATTTCCACCAGGGACATCCCCATCTTCTCATTTGTCTGTAACACACGACTGATGTTGGACTTTGAAATTTGAATACTGGACACCTGTGTTAGTATGATGTTTGAGAGTCTTCGCCAAATTTGGAACTGAAGAAGATGATCCAAACTGTTTGTGGATTCACGATTTGCTCCCGATACAATGAAGGTCCAACCAGTTAGTGAGCAATCACAGGAGAAGGTTAATTTGGGGAAAAGAAGCCAGTGACCAATGGCGGTGCTGTGGTTTGTGTATCGTGACAGAACCAGTGAACTCTCTACCACTTTAGACACACTGGGGAATCCATCACTACCTGCTGTGAAAGAAAGTCATATATAGCTGCATACAACTCTACAGCACTCTAGAAACCGCACACACACACACACACTGACCCTGTTTGAACTGTATATACATCTATATAGCACTATAGTAAAGGTTGTAAGAGCAGGTTTTCCCATTACCAGTTGTATAAACTGGTGTATGTTGGGAACTGACATGGTTGACGTTGTTGGCCGACAGGCAAAGTACTATCATCATGAACGAGACCTGACCTAACACAGAACTCACATACACCAAGGAACATGTTGTTCATCTCCTTGTATTTTGTACTGTAGGTACTATCTCAAAACCTGTAGCTGTCACCAATGTGGATTCATGACACATTACAGGCATAGGTGGATATGTGAACAGAAAATTCTATATCATAGTTATTATTTGAGGAGTTGTATTGCCACATGCCAAAAACGGCCTATCTTTGATCTTTCAACAGGAAATTCTGTCTCACACGCTAACGATGTCAACTAACACTGAACCTTTTATGCCGCGAATGTCCACTCGACAACCCTGTATGTTTGAAACCAGGTAAGTTTGTGGTAGTATGGTCCCTTTATAGTTACTATGTTGTACTACGTGTGCTAAAGGAGAGATCGTTCCCTGAGCGTGCACTATTATCCCACTTGTCCCAGCTAATCTCCTTGTGAAGTGGTATCTCCACTGCTCTATCAGCACTCCAAGGAGGTTTCCAAACTGCTGCCAATTAAATGTGTGGTTGTGTGAAATGCACAGTGCTCCCAGACCAGTTGCCTATGACAACAGCCAACTGAATGCCTCTCTAATTGATGATAAGGTGGCTTGTGCATATTGGGTGGATCCAGAAGGCCACGATTACAACTTACTCTCAGGCAAAAAGCAAAGCTCAGCAGAGCTGCCCACACTGTAATTGAAAATGCCGACTTCCATGAGTAAAATTTCCCCAAATGTGACCTATGTATAATTATGGCTATAGAGCTTGCCTTCATGAGACCTCTGATGTATAGCTGTGTGCTATTGGTTGCAGCAGACATTTTGATATTGCAGGTCTAGACAAACCTTCCCGCCTTGCCTGCCAAGAACCTACTATGACTCATCCCTCTGCACTTACAAAAATCTCAGGATCACCAGCCTTTTTCCAAATACTGATCAATGACTACACACTCAGTTGTTGATTACTGTTCAGGACTAGGCAAACAGGGTCAGTGTGTGCACTTTCTTCAATCGGGCGGACTTGTGCGAGTACACAGACGCAAATGGAAGCAGACAGACCAGCTGAATCACTGATACATCTTCTCACTGTACGTGCCAGACGTTCATACAGTCTTAACAGCAGAAGTATACTTAGTAGTTATGTAAGACGCAACTCCGACAAGAGCGCCTTTTATGTAGGTAGCTAGCTATGTCGCTCGAATAGTAGCCCACAATCATTTACATCATTGTATTTGAGGCTTACCTTGCACCAGCCCATTCAGTAGTGATAAAGAGATCAGTAAACCGCACGAAAGTTTCATCTTTTTCTCGAATAACTGACTGCTGCGCGGCGAGATGCAACACCGCCCCGCACTTATGCGAAGTCCAGGCTCCGTTTTACGCATGCGCAGTACGTACATCACCAAGCTCGAGCATGCGCAAACATCCAAACCCGCCAAATCTTTGTAATCTAAGTGTAAGTAGGTTAACACGGAACTCAGTCAAGTAGAATGATTGTCAGCAGTATGTTCACTGATACTAGAAGAACAGTTGTGGATAGTTGTGTTTCTGCCTGCTGTTGTGTTGCAGGGAACACCATAGGAAACATTCCTTGTCATCCTCACTCCTCTACCTGTGATAATATATAGATATATTCAATGTTGTCAATGTATAAAGCTTTGTACTGTGATACAAACGCACAGTTCCCCATGACTATAAATTACACATTGCAGAGAGATTATAGGTGTGACCAATCATGCATTAGTAAATGCTTTCTAATGCTGCACACAAGGCAATAAACACCAAAACCCAAGAGACAAACAGCCCACTAACAGAGGTATGATGTGGAGGAGGAGGAGGAGTTAGGAGCTGTTTTACTATAGTGCTCAGGCATCAAAGGTGGTGTAAAGCTGACTATTAGCCATCAATAAAGCATAGTGCAGGAACTTTGCTGTGCTCACACTCCCACGCCCAGCTTTCATCACTCGCCATCAAAGCTTATCTTTACTATCCAGTGATGCTCTTACTGTCCATTACTCACTGTAATCAAGGCTGCTTGCATCGCCACTAGAAGTGGTGTTCCCAGTAGTAGTGGCTACTCCAGCCCCACTGTTTTTTCTTGGCTTGGCGACAGGTTTCTGGTATGGTGGGTTGGCAGAGGGTAAGAGGGAGGTTGCTAGAGAGGTGGTAGACGTAGAGGAGGGAGTGGGTGGGAGAGTAGGGTGTGGATTTGTCCCGGCCATGTAGGACACATTCACCCGAGTCTCAATGTGGCCATCTCCTGGAAGAATTTACAACGGAAGAATTTAATGAGCATTAACAACGGTATTGTAGTACTGACAGCTTGTGTACTATCTTCTCTGTACTCCAAACAATTTCTACTTAAATAGGTAGGTGTGCATGGCAGTTTGAATAGTACATGTAACCAGTGTGTTTTCTGTACTTGTATATACTTCAATGGCAATCAGTTCAGAAATTACTGGTGATAATTTGAAGATTTTTAACTATATTATTTTGCTATTCACGTACTATTTGTTGTGTTGCTGGTGATAGTAGTGATAAGATTGTCGGTCCTGGGGTAGTGGTAGAGGTCTGACTGGATGTAGTTGTACTGCTGAGAGTGGTCTGGCGAGTCTGGAGTTCGTACACCTCCTCCATCTAGAGTAGGAGAATTTGAGAGAAGGCAATCTATCATCTTAAGTATAGCAGCATTAACATTGTGTTGAAGATTTGAACCCCTATATACCAGCTGAGTTTTCTTGCCAGTAGCTCAGTTGGTGGAGTGTTTGCCTAGACTGTCGTGAGTTCGAATCCCACCCAGGGCAGCTCTTATTTCTTCTTGGTTAAAGAGCTGTCCTGGTGTAGTTGACCTGTTTGCTTTGCCTTGCTAACTTGTTTTTGATGATACATGATCATTAGCATGCCTGCATTTGATAGCTACATGTTTGTCAAGAGCTCTAAGTATGTCAGTCTAGGTTTCATTGATCAGTGTGGATAAAGAAAGTGACTGTGAACATTTTTCTCCTTTTTAAAGTTACATACCTTTCATTAACCAATCACATGCTGGAAACTGCGATCAAAAGCATCACATGGGAAAATTAGCTCCACCTTACTACCATATGTACTGCATGCTGTGCTCTTTCTTTACGTCGTGCACAGGAGGGTGGGGTGGAAAGGTGAGGCTCCTGATATATCACAGTCTTATTATTCACTGCTGCTGCTTTCAGTGCTGGATCTGTGTGTTAGGCATGATCTGGGGCCCGGCCTCCACTATCTTCATCTAATATAACACGCAACTGCTCGTATCAGAAGTCTCAAAGCCTACACGCATGACAGGTTATATGCTTGATCGAGGTGTTTTGGTCGCACCAAACAGTCATGTGTGCCATTTAATGCATGCTACAGCGTGTACTTCATAGGTTTTGGGTCGTAGGGTATGGACCATGCTTAGTTGAAGGGAAATAATAGGTAGTAATGTGTATACTGTATACAAATGGTATATGCACATGTATTCGTTGGCAGATTTATTTGGTATTTACTACTGATGATGCGATACTAATCTCCGATTGTGTCGGCCCGATTATGGTTGCACGTGTACACTGGGGTTAGTGTACAAGTTCATGCTTCTCATTCCTTGCATTCAAGAGGCAGGCGTGTCGGAGTGAGTATCGGGCCTGGCAAAGTGGAAATTGT